GTTTTGTAAGGCTATTAATAAGCTAACTTATCATATTCAATAATAGAATTGAATTTCCTCTATTTCTTCTACTATAAACTCAACCTGACATTTTGTATTAGAGTTACACGAGGCTTGATTGAATTAACAGTAGATTTCTACGTGAGTGGTAACTCAAAGATGGCAATAGAGAGTTTATTTTTGTATAGCCATCTGTCCCGAAATTTGATTGGTATTATGATCATTATACAATGCTCATGGAGATTTTTTGCGATTAAAAAGAATACTGGAATGCGGTGGCAAATGGAATACCTATCGTAGAAGGTAGTGCTTTAACAGAGGCACAGAAAAAGAATATTGAATATCAGAAGTTGAAAGATCTAAAAGCAAAGAATTACTTGTTTGAAGCTCTAGATCGCACCATTTTGGAGACAATTCTCAACAAGGAAACATCAAAGAGCATATGGGATTCGATGTTAGAAACATCAAGGTGCAACAAGAGTTTAAGGAGTCACATTTGCAAGCTCTCCGTAAGGTGTTTGAGGTTCTTGAAATGAAGGTAGGAGAATTTGTAACTTTAGTACTTTACTAGAACTCTTACCATAGTTAACAAGATGAAAGAAAATGGTGAAAGTAAAAAGATGGTGAAGTGGTTGCAAAAATTCTGCCATCGATGACTCCTAAATTCAATTCTGTGCTGAGTGTTATCGGGGGTTAAGGATACAAGTTTGTTATCAATTGATGAGCTTCAAAGTAGCTTGCTTGTCCATGATTAGCAACGTATGAAGAAGAGTTATTTAGTAGAAGAAGTACATGCTTGGAAGATTTTTTATGGAGATTGTTGGGTTTGTAAGGTGATTGCAAACAAAGTCTCACATTAGCTAGGGAAGGGAATGATCATGGGTATATAAGAGAGAACAATTATCTCCATTGGTATGAGGCTTTTCGGGTGAAACCAAAAGTACCTCTTTCTAACATACTCTTTTTGTGACAGTGTCAAAGTACCATTTTTTCTCTCTATTCTCATCTCTAGGATTTGTTTGGCAGCTCCCAAATCTTTCATGTCAAATTCTTTAGATAATTCAGCCTTTATCTTTAGAATTTCCTCTTTGTTTGGTCCTGCTATCAACATGTTATCAACATATAGTAATAAAATGATGAATGAGTTACCCTGAGTTCTTATGTAATAGCAATGATCTGCCTAACATCTCTGAAATCCACTGTTACACATAAAACTTGTCAAACTTCTTATACCATTGTCTGGGAGCCTGTTTGAGACCATACAGGCTTCTCTGAAGTTTGCATACCATTTTCTCTTGCCCCTGTACTGTAAATCCCTATGGCTGTACCATGTAAATTTCTTCCTCCAAATCACCAACATCCATTTGTTCCAGGAACAAATCTTC